CAACCCCCCCCTAGAGAGATAGGCTGACGCGGGGGGTGTTCAACAAGGCGACCGGTCCGGCAAGCGGTATAGGGGTCGGCGGCAGATTTAGGACATTGTCAAGGGGTAGCCGCGTCTTCGCTTCGTCTGCTACGTCTACCGGCAATTCGGGGTCGTAGGTTCATTACGGTCTACCGGTAGACTGCGGTAGACTGCGGTAGACTCGTCTACCAAACGGTCTACCGTCTACCCCAGTCTGCCCCAGTCTACCGGTAGACGGTAGACGGGCCACCCCTCAGAATTGTACCTCCTCGTAGCGAACGAAGTGCGTCGCCCGCGTGCCTTGCTTCGGCTCGTTCGATGCTGCTGGCCAGTCGAAGTTAATTTCTCCCAGGCGCGCCGCCACGCTGTCAAAGTCGTCATCGCTTTCGTCGTCACTTCCATCCAGCTGCGTCCCTCCTGCTGCCGTGTGTCGTGACAGGTCGTCTGGTACTGTCTCTTGTGGCTGCGCCGTTCCTGTCCGGAAGATCTCCAAGAAGAAATCACACTCGAAGGTTTTAAAAGTGTACGCCGACTCAGGGTGTGTGGCAGCCAGCTGGCTGTGTGTCTTGTGAGCTTGTTTGTGTCTGTGTGTCGCTCGTGCGTGTCGTCATCATCTGTCCAGCGTCCACCCATACCGCGTTGGTGTCCAGTCCGAGCCTGGCTGTTCTTTCTTCACCTTACTACCTACCTACCTCTCTCTCTAAGATCGCCCCTCGATTTTTAGCGTCGACCGCACGGCCTACTCGCCCCGGTACTCGCTTTCTTTTGTGGTGTACCTGTGTTCGTGCCAGTGCGCGCCAGTCCCGTGCCCAGTGTTGTGCGAGGGAGTTTTGTTGTAAGATTCTTTTATGTCCCACCATGCAGAGCGCATCTCTCTCTCTGTTGTGCGAGGCGTGAACCGCGACAACACAAACCGCGCCATTCGCTCTCACCTGGCAACCCTGTCTGCACGTCTCGCGCGCGCGTGAACAGGGCTCCAGGCCCCAAATGACGTGTGAGTGTTAGAGTTGTTGTC